TTTTTTTAAATATGATATACTCAATCACATTTATTTTAAAACTAACTTTCGCCCGCGACTCCGTCCGCGCGGAATTAAAAAAAAAAACAAAAGTGAGTAGCCTTTGTGTTCTTCCAGACTATCCTCTACATCTATGCTAAATTTCATCGAGATCTCTTTAGCCGTTTAGGCTACAAACTCTAACAAAGAAACATCCATCTATCCATCCATCTAAACTTTCGCCTTTATAATATTAGTAAGAAGTAAGATTAGTCTAAAAACCGATTCAAATTGTTTAAAAAAATAGTTAACTATAGTAATTAAAAATTAACATAAATACATTAAAATCATATGAATGTTTCCATAAAATTTTGTTTGCCCTTCACCTAAAAGTTAGAGTGGATATGCCGAAGTCTATTTTGATATCGCTTGGGAAACAAAACAGATGTTGTTTTCTCCCCACGCCTTTAAATATTAACACGCGACGTAACATAATGTACTTTTAATCCTTGCCTCAATATATCTATCGAGGAAAGTTAGATTACCTCTTAGCAATGGTTTTATAGCATAGCCTTAACCTCCCGTTAACCTTTTAGTTGCCGCACAATTAAAATTCACTTTAATATGTAAACATAACTGTAGTAAACAAAACAACCTAAGTGAACTTTAACAAAAGCTCTTAAAATTAATTAAAACCATATTTTTTTGATCGAGCATTTCAAACAGTAATAATACATACTCAAAATAAAATTTACAGTGTAAAATTCATCACGTACTGTAGAGGTTGAATTAAGTTTCAAAATGTTTACAAAACTCACATTTCTTACACAAAGCAGCGTAAAGCGTAGCGTGAATTGAGTTCGGTCTACACATTCGAGAGCTTAATCTTAGTTCTAGTTAAGAACACAGCCGTGGCTAATTGAAACTATTGCTAGAGAGTTCTAACGCTTCCTTTTGATCTTGCTTCGAGTGAATCCGGCCGAACTTAAAGCTTTACGAGACAGACTTTAGTGAATTACGATTGAAAGTTTTCCGCTTACAGTTTCTATGAAGGAAAATATCCCTTACTTAACAGTTACTGACTACAATAAAGCACGTAAAGCTTTCGTGAGCTCCAGACTTTTGCCAATAAGGAATTTATTTTACAGTAAACGATTATAGAATAGATCTCTACAGTAAATATAAAAGCAATTAGAGTTTTTTTTTTATTTTTTTTATTTTATAAGGCTTTAGTACTATTATGCAATGTTTATGTTTAAATTCTTTAAAACAAGATGTTATGTTTTGTGTTGGTGTTAACGTTCAGTGATAACGTTTCTGTTCGTGCAGAGGACAAGCTTGTTAGCGTTTATGATCGTTGTGAAGGTGAAATCACCTCTTTTGTTATGTTTACACGGTGATGTTACTGTCACCGACTTGTTTAATAAAACGTGAATTTACGAATTGACATGATATTGAGTTCTGTACGTAATGCTTTTTTAGATGACGACAGATAAAAATGTCTAATGATAAACTAAGAAAGAAAATTTTATACCACTAGATCTTGTTAATAATTACGTCAATTTTGACGTCTTTTAGGATTCATGTATATTTTTAGTTCGTTTTGATGTAGTGTAGAGTTTGTCAATTAAGCCCGCTACAGACGCTCAATTCTGAGAATTTTAACAGAATAATCAAACAGTTCGACTATTGTCAGTAAGAAGTGAGTAAATAGCCTTAACTTAGATCGAAGATATTACATTATACAACTTGACTGTATCTCTATCACTCTAAGAGCATTCGCACACTTGAAACTAAATTATCGCAAAACTGTTTAGCCTTGCTTTGATTCCTACGAGCTCATGGAAGGGCTCACACTACTCGATTCCTACATGTGTAAAAAATTGAATTGGCTGCGAAACAATGCAAGACAATCGCACAACAGTTGTGCGATAGATTAATCAAAAAAGCACCAGCTCTAAGACAGTGTATAGCCATAAACAGTGACTACTGTCATAGAAATGCCGTACAAAGACCTTACAGTTTCAAGAGAGGTTCCAGTGACGGTGTTTAATTATTGCTCTGCCCTCAATACTGGTGTCTAGAACACAACTCGTGGAAACACATTAATAATTTCCAACGCTTTGCAGTGACCACAGAGCGCATTGCGGTAAAATAAGACCTTGTATGAAACGTAAAAAATACAGTGAAGTGGATTACAAGCTCCAATTTGAAGTAAGAAAAAAGCAGTTATATGGTAACATTCATATTTAATTTTACGACGACCAGGCACTCTCGCTTATTACCGCTGGAGATTCTGTCTCTGTTACAAAAACGACCTCTCGCGGATAGAAGTTTCGAGACTATTACAATAAAGCTTTAATCCATTTGTTTCCGTTATTTATGAAACGTGAAAGCTATTTTGTATACTCAGATATAACTTCATTAGTTTTAAGACGTTTTAATAAATTACTTTTAATATTTAGATTTTATAACCTTGAAAAATATGTAATTTCTTTGTGTCTAATTGTTATATATCATTCTTACATCTTTTAGCTAAACATCCAGGCCAGACAATCTTACTATCTTACTAATAATATAAAAAAGGAAGTTTAGATGGATGGATAGACGTTTGTTTGAAGATATCTCCGGAACCGCTCTATAAATGTCGATAAAATTTGGCTCAGATGTAGAAAATATGCTGGAAGAATACATTCACTAACTATTTTTTTTTAAATTATACGCAGACGAAGTCGCGGACAAAAATTAGTGTTCTGTACATGTTCGTTGTATTGTAACTTAGCTTATTAAATTGATTTTAATCATAAGAGTGTGATATATTTAAAGTTAAATAAACTAAACGAAGTAATCTTTAGTTCGTTGACACGTAATATATGGAGTTGAAATAACTTGCTATCGTCACGTGCACGGGAAATTTCAAAGTAACATTTTGCTGTAAGAAATGAACGGATATGTAGTAAGGAACAATCATCATTAATCTTTGCAATCCTTCTATGTTACAATTTTGATGGTTAAATTACATTACTGATGCTATCATATATTTTAATTAATCTTTTCAGATGAAACCTGTCTAAAAAGCAAAGGATTTTTGTTTGTAAATAAATATTTTTATGTAAAATTGATCTCCAACTGGAAGTCGATATTTAGATAACTTTATTATTGAAAAGTAACATTTTCCGAAATAGTTCAAACCACAGAACATAAGGTGGAAATACGAGTACACATGCCAGTAAAATGGAGTACTACTCCAACTGGCGTGCCAACTATTAGTACGATGCGTTTATACATACACAACTTTAACTAAACTATCGCAAAACTGTTGTGCGATTGTCGATTGTGTCGCAGCCAATTCAACAGTTTAGTTGCACAACTAAAAATTGAATACTGTCCGCACCTTCGCGAACTCATAGGAATCAAAGCGAGTCTAAAGAGTTGTGCGATAGTTTAGTTTCAGGTGTGCGCGCACTCTTACTGCTGTAATATTAAATGTCGTGCTAGATACTTGAATGTAGCAGCCACGTGCCAGTAACTGGCATGCAATTGTGAGTCACATGCGTATTTCCGGTCTTTTAGTTTCAAAACAGGTGTAACACCAACCACTCGAATATCGCTTAGTCGTTCTATTTTCATGAAGTGCTTTACATTTTCAGCGTTCGGTTGCTGTTTTAAAAATTAACTAGCACGAAAGCCAAAACACCGCTCAAACTCGAAGTACTCGAATAGAAGAATGATTTTTTATTATTTTGCTCTTATTTAACATGTTTTATCTATATTTATACTAATATTAAAAAAGATTTGTATTTTTGTATGTATTGAAATAACTCAACTACTGGGCCGATTTTAAAAAATCTTACACCATTAGAAAGGTAATATATCTGTAAGTAATATATATTTTGATTTCACGCGAGTGAAGTCGCGAGCAGCAGCTAGAATAGCAATTTGACAGACTCATGTATTTATCTAATAAAATTTCAATTACATAAAGCAAATTTTAGTAAATAAAGTGGCCGATTCAAACCAATAGGATCACAGGCAACTAAACAACTTGTCACTATTACTATATGAAATTTTTAGAAACAATTAAAAATATTTTTCTTTTTATTTTTCAACCTACACCTGGTGGTTTTATGGCTTATAGTTAGGTAAATTTCTTTTTTATCCAATGACCCAGTTCGTTTGTGAGTTGTAGAAACGGTGCGAGCATATTTTATTGTGCATTCGAACACACATGTTTATTTTAGACACTAAAAGTTTCAATGTCTATTCGATACAAATTAAATATTCATATAAAATTTTACATAATTATAGCAATATGAGATAGTTAGTTTTTCTCGGAGTTTAAAGGACTATCGTCGATTATATAATGCAAAAATGCGTACCTACGTGAAAAAATCAAAATTCTTCTAAAAATTTCTCGACCCATTTACAATAACAAGGGTTCTTTACTCAAACACGGAACCATAATCACCTTCTGTATATGAACACTGTGTTAATTGAAAAGGAGCTTCATTGTCATACACTCAAGGTTGCAATTCGATCGATGGTTATTTTGTTTAACGTTGTACTAACAAGGATCAGTGTCCACTCTATTTATTCGCATCAACATTGCCTGGATAAACAGGCGTCAGTGCGAAGACATACATTTTAGGATTAATAAATATAAATAAAATTAACCTAAAGTAATCTTATATTAGAGACAAAATAACTAGGCTCTTTCTGTACAGTGTAAAATCCAACCTCTATGGCTAGCAAGGAGTTTGTATACAGCCAAAGAAATTGCATACTGGCCACCAAGACTTTATTTAAATATTAAAAGGCGTAGTAAAAACAAAAGAACAGCGCTATGTCAATGAGAAAAGATGTAATTGGGATAGATTTAAAGCAAATATAATGTATATAATTTAATAAATATGTTACAACGAATGTAAGTGTACTTTTGGCTGCCGCGCTGTTGGTAACAAGTAAGCTCTCTCAGTATATTCAAACCATAGTAATAAGCACAAGATGTAAATAATACTTACTTGGGTTAACTGCTAGCCCCTCTTCCAAAACGTTCATAGATAGATGGATAAGCACCAGTAATGTCGCAGAAACCTGAAAAATAAACATTTCAGTAAGTTACAAGTTTATTTTAATGAAATACGTTTTCAGAGAGGTTATTTTTCATGCGACAAATTTATAATGATCATCCAAATAATAAGCAAAAGTAATACTGATTGTTGGTTATTTTTAGTTTAAATAAAAGTTTAGTTTAGTTAGTTTAGTTTTAGTTTTCTAGCTTATGCCCGTCCGTTCGCGTGGAATTAAAAAAAGTAAGTAGCTATGTGTTCTTCCAAGCTTTACTTTACATCTATGCCAAATTTTATCAAAATACATTCAGCAGTTTAGACTATAAACTCTAATAAACACCCATCCATATAAACTTTCGCATTTTTTATGTTAATAACAAGTGAGATATTAGTAAGAAGTTTATTTATGTTACTGTTTAGTGGATATTAAAGCTAAGTATATATTAATCTTGTCGACACCTTGCCACTATTTCTGGAGTCTCGCCACGTAAAAAATAGCAAGCTCTTGGCGATGCTGCACAAAATTGCATTAAAATTGCGCTTTGTGTCCGACGCCGCGGCGAAATGAAAAATTAGATTGTTACCTCAGATGCAAGTAAAAATTTATAGTAGTAATTAATGTTGGTTTTATAATAAAAACAACAAATCTTTGAGGAGAAAGGCCTAAGAAAGTAGAAAGATAAGACTTAAGAAAGGAGTAAATTCAGATAGAGATGTTTGGACGAGTGCACTTACTGTGCCGTCCCTCAATAGGAACAAGGGCAAGCTGGTGATGATGATGATGATGATGGTGATGATGATGGCGGTGATGATGATGAAGATGAACAACTCATCAACGTAATTCATTAAAGTAATGTTTTACACAATAACATATTAATACATTTCTATGCAATAACATTTTTAAGAGAAATAAACTGGTTACTTTAAACGTCTATTATTTGTGCTTGTAAAATAAGTTGTTAATTTTTCTTAAAAACACAGGAACACAATTCTTTGTTAAATGTTGTCTGATTACAATTATAATGTTTATAAGAAAAATAAATTATCTTACATTTACAAAAATTACATGTTAATTGGATAAAAATAAGAAATCTAAACATAAAATTCACAATACAGTAATAAACAAAATAGTCCCGCGATAATCTCTTCAGTGCCACTTTACGTTGCCTGCGGACAGGGCAGGGCTTGAAGAGGCCGGATTTTCTCTCGCTCCTAACAATCCCAAGTCACGTTGTGAATTAGTATTTTCATTTAAATTACGTTGTAGCTTTTTATATATTTAAATTAAAACGTTGAATGTATAATTAAAAAAAACTTTTAAAAACTGCTATTTTGATTTGTTACTTATTCAAAAAAAAAACTTAAAATGTCTAATTGTAAACATCACATCAAATAACACCTAGGAAAAGAATGGAAAATGTGGTCTCATTGCTTGCTTGAAACGTGTGTACATAGGAAAAATGTTGCCAACCTAAGAAATGTTGCCAGAAACATCCAAGCATACAATTTTAATTAAAAGTGTGACCCCTATTGGATGCATTTAATTAAGTCATCTTCGGTTCGCTTATCGAAAGAATTAATCAGTAGGAATTGTACCGTCCGAGCGCTCCGTCTCAATTAAACAAGATCGACGTCTATTTCCCCAGCGCACTGTAACCGTTATTCATTATTCACTCAATATTGAACGTCGTTGTTTACCCCCAGAGGATAACGTCATAATATTACGTAAACTAATAATCTAACTATGAAATCATTAACTAATCAATTCTATATCATATATTAGATGTGAAATTTAGACGTAGACAAAGATGTATGGATTGCGTAAAAGGTTACATGATCAAAAAGGGAGTGATGACTAAGATGACGTATGATAGAGTTATGTGGAGGACAAAAACCTGTTGCGCCGACCCTACGGGAATAAGGAAGATGATGAAATTAGATGATAAAACAGATAATATAATTAACGAAAGTTGGTTTGGGAAAATGTGAACTTTAAACTGTCGTGGTTTTTAATGTAATGTTCCTAAGATACAGGGTTTTTACGACGAGTCGTCGTGTCATCGACATCGTGTCGTCAACACGCGACGCGGTTTAGGTTTAAAGTTTTAGGGCTTGTCCCACCACTGGCTGATAGAGGCTCAGATAGCTTAATAATGACGTCACTGTCAGATAAGGGAACAAAATCCGATATTTCCGTATTTTCCGTTATCAGACAATTTACAATATGGTAGGATAGGCCCTCAGTCTATTTTCTAATACCTAAACTTCTCACATTAATTTTTAGTTGGTGTTTCATATGTAATTTATCGTGTTGTCATGTTCACGGGCTGACTGAACAATCGTGGTAAAAAAACTCGTATCTTACCAAACTGATATAAGGCATGAAATAAAAGTACTGCTTGTAGTTTATAAATTAAAATACATTTAATTAAAAACTTATGTAATTATATTTCGTTGAAAACTAACTATAAATCTAATACAATTTTTAAGTTAAAGTTCAGGTCAAAGTTGCATTTTATATTTCACGTTTAGGTTACTTTTAAATTCTCAGAGTATGCTACGGTTACTCGAGAAAAGTTGTAACACAATTTGAGTATAAAATGTTCTAACATATAAAGAATAAAATTTTTCAGCGACGAACACGCGACAACTTGTAACAAAGTTTAACTTTGCTTTGTTTAAAGTTTTCTTTCGATATCGTAAAGAAAATTACTTTCTAACTTTTAGATTAATGATACATTCATCAAATTGAAATTAATTGTCACATATTTTTCTACGCGAACTTTAGATTACAACATGACATGAAATTCTTAATATTAAAGGGAAGTTTGTTATTATATTTAATTCAGTATACCCATATACATAAATTACATATGAAACACCAATTAAAAAATAATGTGAGAAGTTTGAGTGTTAGAAAATAGACTAAGGGCCTATCCCAACAAATTTTCTGATAACGGAAAATATCGGAAATATCGGATGTTGTTCCCTTATCTGACAGTGACGTCATTATTAAGCTATCTGAGCCTCTATCAGCCAGTGGTGGGACAAGCCCTTAAACTTTAAATCTAAACCAAGCTAAAGACGTAAAGTTTTCCTAACAAAGATGATAAATTAATAACAAAACATTGACAATCCCACACTACAGATGATTTATGGTAAAGGCGAATCTCGACGACGTTTGATGTTTATCTAACGATGTACTATGTTCGTGAATTGTTTGCACAGAGGGCTATAAGTGGCCAACATTTGTTCATTAAATGAAGGAAATCATAATGTTTTTGCTAGTAATACAATAATATGACACATAAATAGTAAGGAACAAAAACCATCGATAAAAAGACAATTCTAAACTTCAGTCTTTCTTTCTACAATAAAAAAGTGAAACTTGTAACGACTATAATTAACATCCCTCGTGTTTTTATACAATTTATTGCTAACCACAAACAACCTACTTATGTTTCTGACTAGTTTAAGATTATCATTTAATCACATCGAATCGGATTTTTTAACTTTCGCAATAGCAACAAAATACAGCTCTGACCTAACCAACAAATCAATTTTTCAACGACCGATATTCCTAACGCCAGAAAATCCCCAATCGGAAAAACAATCTCCACTTCGATTCGCAGTAGACATTTATATCAGTTCTGTTGACTTACGCACTACGAAGTTCAATCAAAACATTTTAGTAGCACTTACGATAAATATTTATAAGATTCTTAGTCGTAATAAAATACCTTAAGACGTCGAATGTTTACTGTATTTTTGTTACCGTAGTTTTGATAGCAGTCATATTTTATGTGTTCAGTGCTAAGCCATCTGGATATCGTTAAAACAGCAATGCAGTTATTATAAAGCGCAACGTTCACTCGTAGACACAAAAAGTACTTAAGGCCGGTTTCCCAGCTACTAACCATTCGTAAATGCTTTTGGTTCAATAACATCAAGAAATTCGTTTCCAAACTACGTAACTTAAGTTTTATTCCCTTGAAACTTAGGAAAACCTAAGTTGGTACTTATAAACCTCTGTTGAAAACTCAAACACACACAACAACAAACACAATACAATTATTTCTTTTAAGATGCACAAACAAGCCCAAATATCAAGTTAATATAACATTATGCTGGCTTATTGTTTCATTTCATTGCATACTAACTATTACTGGTGACTTCGTCTGGGTGGATTAAATAAAAATATATAGTCTTTGTTACTCACAGATAAACTTTTCTAACGGTGCAAGAATTAAATTCGGCCCAGTACGTACTTATTATACGTATTGAAATTGCGCAAAAACGTATAATAAAAATCTTTCCTGTTTATAATAATAGTACAAAATTATAGATTTTCTTTTTTTATGTGTTACATTTTACATTGCAATAATTAAATCTAAATGCATACAATTTTTATAAAGTAGGAACAAAATATAGATTTGTTTTACAAGTCCATTGCATTTCGGCCAATCGTGGTATCCGTGGTGCCTATTCATTAATCCTTGGTCTTTCGCTTGGCAAAGTTTAATGAAGGATTAAACGCCGGCGAATCGGCTCATTTAACTTCCTACATAAGCTTAGCTCGGTTTTCGATGTCTAAGTTTTCTAAAAGATTCTTTCATTGAGCAAAATTATCTTTTTTATATTTATTCAATAACTTTGATACAATAGTATTGAGTTGTAGGAAAGAATAATACATACATTTTATTGTTCTATTGTTCAACAAATCTTATTGGAAAACCTGCATTAAAATTTTAATTAAGTGTATCATTAACTTGCGATTTCTATATTTACTATGTCAATGTGTGAAGTTTTTTTTTTTATAATATAAGGTGGCAAACGAGCAAGCGGCCATCTGAATCCACCGAAATGGAAAGCGACCGCTGCCCATAAACATCCGCAATGGCAGATGCGTTGCCTACCCTTAATTGACGGATGAGGAGACGCACATAAAGAGTACATTCCCCCTTCCTATACGTCTCCTCCACCGTCAAATCCACTTTTCCTTCCCATCCTTTCCTCTTATGAAAA